CGCGCGCAGGGCGGCGGGGGCCCCTGGCCGCCGCCGGCTTCTGGCAGGTGTGGCAGCGCTTCGACGCGGACGGTGAGTACTGCCACCTGCGCTCCGGTGTGGCCGCGCTCGCCCGCCGCTGAGCGCCCGAGCTGGCCCCGCCAGCGCGCCCTTCCCTGCAGGAGCCTCGGCCCCCCGCCTCACCGGGCATCGAGCTTGCTGGAGCTTGCTGCTGCCCCGCGGTCCAGGAACGCTGGAGTTCCCGGTGGGGAGGGACGACTTCACTCCCCATCCCAATGCCTGCGTGTGACTATGTTGTGACAACTATCTTGGCGACCCAGGGAGGCTGCGGGCTGGAACTCCCAAACCACCCTTCCTCCAATTTGATCAACTTCAAAAATGACTCCCCCAAAACAACTATTTGAAAATAAAAGGAAACTACTTAACATTTGCTTTGCTTTGTATTAATAATTTTAAAAGCGTAAGAAAACATCTAAAATGTATTTTAACTTGTATAATTTTTCAAGTCCTTAAAATCTTTGGATTGAATTTTATTCTAAAGCTCACGTTTAGCCGTTGATCTAGATGGATAGCTTTCATTTTCCAAACATGGATGTAAGCCGAAGCATAAAGCATCCGCTCAGAACATGTTTACTGGAGGCCAACCCATGTCTTCTGGGGGCAGACGCAGGCACTTAGTTAGAATGACAAAGATGACACAGAAAGGGTCCATGGGGATTTTATAGCCTAAGAGGTTAAAGACAGCTGTATAGAAACCCCACGTCACGTGTTATCCTGTGTGAGTGACTCTTCACGCTTCTTCTCTTGCATGTAGGAAAAGGTTACATAGACGAGGAGGCTCTGGACGGTTTCTTCCACCACACGCTGACGAAGCTGGGCCCCGAGGTGAGTCCTGGCACCGGCCATTCACCTCTCACCTGCTCGTCTTCTGCTGCTTGGTGCTGCTAATCCCTCTGGCCGCTTGGCTTCCTCGCTGCGTGTCCTTCCCCCTCTCCTAGCAACAGAGGGAGTTGTGCAGGTTTCATGAAGGCGACATCTGTCGCCCTCGCAGGGTCCTAGCCATAGACCCAGCCCTGTCCTGAGGGTCTCCTGGCTCATGTCTCTGCTAGTTGGCTTCACCCTGGAGATGAGGTGGAGATGTTAAGTGCGTTTCGAGTGCATTTCCTGTCCACAACAGCGGAGGAGGACGCTGGGACCTGCCCACCTCACGGTAAAGACCAGTGAGCCTGTGAGGGAAGAGCGCTTGCTGGCCGCAGAAGCGCCGTGTGCATAAGCCTTCTCAGGGTGACGTGCATCCCCGTTGGCCCGTAGCCTTCCTAGCGCCTTCCTAGCGTTTACTCCAGACCCTCGCCTCAAGTCTGCCGGCGGGAGCTCCACATGGGGTTACTGGAGCTTATGCTCTTAACCAGCGAACAGCTCTGTCCATGTGAAAAGTGCGTCTACGGGGGTTTCCAGTTTGTGAGGGCAAGTTTTCCAGCCAGGGCCGCCTTGGGAGGACGCCTTAAATCTCACCCACCACCCACCACCTCTCCTGAGTGGAGGAGGCCCCCAGGGGAGGCAGCAGACAAGTCGGAGTGTCACTCAAGGGCCCACAGCACCTCGTCTTGGGCGTCATTCCCCGTCCTCACCTGGGATTTCGCTTCTGAGTCACTAACGTCTTCGTATGTCAATCTGTGTGTATTCAGTTAGGAAGATACTCATTTAGGAAGGTACTCAGTTAGGAAGATATCAGTTAGGAAGGTACTCAGTTAGGAAGATATCAGTTAGGAAGGTACTCAGTTAGGAAGATATCAGTTAGGAAGGTACTCAGTTAGGAAGATATCAGTTAGGAAGGTACTCAGTTAGGAAGATATCAGTTAGGAAGGTACTCAGTTAGGAAGATATCAGTTAGGAAGGTACTCAGTTAGGAAGATATCAGTTAGGAAGGTACTCAGTTAGGAAGATATCAGTTAGGAAGGTACTCAGTTAGGAAGATATCAGTTAGGAAGGTACTCAGTTAGGAAGATATCAGTTAGGAAGGTACTCAGTTAGGAAGATATCAGTTAGGAAGGTACTCAGTTAGGAAGATATCAGTTAGGAAGGTACTCAGTTAGGAAGATATCAGTTAGGAAGGTACTCAGTTAGGAAGATATCAGTTAGGAAGGTACTCAGTTAGGAAGATATCAGTTAGGAAGGTACTCAGTTAGGAAGATATCAGTTAGGAAGGTACTCAGTTAGGAAGATATCAGTTAGGAAGGTACTCAGTTAGGAAGATATCAGTTAGGAAGGTACTCAGTTAGGAAGATATCAGTTAGGAAGGTACTCAGTTAGGAAGATATCAGTTAGGAAGGTACTCAGTTAGGAAGATATCAGTTAGGAAGGTACTCAGTTAGGAAGATATCAGTTAGGAAGGTACTCAGTTAGGAAGATATCAGTTAGGAAGGTACTCAGTTAGGAAGATATCAGTTAGGAAGGTACTCAGTTAGGAAGATATCAGTTAGGAAGGTACTCAGTTAGGAAGATATCAGTTAGGAAGGTACTCAGTTAGGAAGATATCAGTTAGGAAGGTACTCAGTTAGGAAGATATCAGTTAGGAAGGTACTCAGTTAGGAAGATATCAGTTAGGAAGGTACTCAGTTAGGAAGATATCAGTTAGGAAGGTACTCAGTTAGGAAGATATCAGTTAGGAAGGTACTCAGTTAGGAAGATATCAGTTAGGAAGGTACTCAGTTAGGAAGATATCAGTTAGGAAGGTACTCAGTTAGGAAGATATCAGTTAGGAAGGTACTCAGTTAGGAAGATATCAGTTAGGAAGGTACTCAGTTAGGAAGATATCAGTTAGGAAGGTACTCAGTTAGGAAGATATCAGTTAGGAAGGTACTCAGTTAGGAAGATATCAGTTAGGAAGGTACTCAGTTAGGAAGATATCAGTTAGGAAGGTACTCAGTTAGGAAGATATCAGTTAGGAAGGTACTCAGTTAGGAAGATATCAGTTAGGAAGGTACTCAGTTAGGAAGATATCAGTTAGGAAGGTACTCAGTTAGGAAGATATCAGTTAGGAAGGTACTCAGTTAGGAAGATATCAGTTAGGAAGGTACTCAGTTAGGAAGATATCAGTTAGGAAGGTACTCAGTTAGGAAGATATCAGTTAGGAAGGTACTCAGTTAGGAAGATATCAGTTAGGAAGGTACTCAGTTAGGAAGATATCAGTTAGGAAGGTACTCAGTTAGGAAGATATCAGTTAGGAAGGTACTCAGTTAGGAAGATATCAGTTAGGAAGGTACTCAGTTAGGAAGATATCAGTTAGGAAGGTACTCAGTTAGGAAGATATCAGTTAGGAAGGTACTCAGTTAGGAAGATATCAGTTAGGAAGGTACTCAGTTAGGAAGATATCAGTTAGGAAGGTACTCAGTTAGGAAGATATCAGTTAGGAAGGTACTCAGTTAGGAAGATATCAGTTAGGAAGGTACTCAGTTAGGAAGATATCAGTTAGGAAGGTACTCAGTTAGGAAGATATCAGTTAGGAAGGTACTCAGTTAGGAAGATATCAGTTAGGAAGGTACTCAGTTAGGAAGATATCAGTTAGGAAGGTACTCAGTTAGGAAGATATCAGTTAGGAAGGTACTCAGTTAGGAAGATATCAGTTAGGAAGGTACTCAGTTAGGAAGATATCAGTTAGGAAGGTACTCAGTTAGGAAGATATCAGTTAGGAAGGTACTCAGTTAGGAAGATATCAGTTAGGAAGGTACTCAGTTAGGAAGATATCAGTTAGGAAGGTACTCAGTTAGGAAGATATCAGTTAGGAAGGTACTCAGTTAGGAAGATATCAGTTAGGAAGGTACTCAGTTAGGAAGATATCAGTTAGGAAGGTACTCAGTTAGGAAGATATCAGTTAGGAAGGTACTCAGTTAGGAAGATATCAGTTAGGAAGGTACTCAGTTAGGAAGATATCAGTTAGGAAGGTACTCAGTTAGGAAGATATCAGTTAGGAAGGTACTCAGTTAGGAAGATATCAGTTAGGAAGGTACTCAGTTAGGAAGATATCAGTTAGGAAGGTACTCAGTTAGGAAGATATCAGTTAGGAAGGTACTCAGTTAGGAAGATATCAGTTAGGAAGGTACTCAGTTAGGAAGATATCAGTTAGGAAGGTACTCAGTTAGGAAGATATCAGTTAGGAAGGTACTCAGTTAGGAAGATATCAGTTAGGAAGGTACTCAGTTAGGAAGATATCAGTTAGGAAGGTACTCAGTTAGGAAGATATCAGTTAGGAAGGTACTCAGTTAGGAAGATATCAGTTAGGAAGGTACTCAGTTAGGAAGATATCAGTTAGGAAGGTACTCAGTTAGGAAGATATCAGTTAGGAAGGTACTCAGTTAGGAAGATATCAGTTAGGAAGGTACTCAGTTAGGAAGATATCAGTTAGGAAGGTACTCAGTTAGGAAGATATCAGTTAGGAAGGTACTCAGTTAGGAAGATATCAGTTAGGAAGGTACTCAGTTAGGAAGATATCAGTTAGGAAGGTACTCAGTTAGGAAGATATCAGTTAGGAAGGTACTCAGTTAGGAAGATATCAGTTAGGAAGGTACTCAGTTAGGAAGATATCAGTTAGGAAGGTACTCAGTTAGGAAGATATCAGTTAGGAAGGTACTCAGTTAGGAAGATATCAGTTAGGAAGGTACTCAGTTAGGAAGATATCAGTTAGGAAGGTACTCAGTTAGGAAGATATCAGTTAGGAAGGTACTCAGTTAGGAAGATATCAGTTAGGAAGGTACTCAGTTAGGAAGATATCAGTTAGGAAGGTACTCAGTTAGGAAGATATCAGTTAGGAAGGTACTCAGTTAGGAAGATATCAGTTAGGAAGGTACTCAGTTAGGAAGATATCAGTTAGGAAGGTACTCAGTTAGGAAGATATCAGTTAGGAAGGTACTCAGTTAGGAAGATATCAGTTAGGAAGGTACTCAGTTAGGAAGATATCAGTTAGGAAGGTACTCAGTTAGGAAGATATCAGTTAGGAAGGTACTCAGTTAGGAAGATATCAGTTAGGAAGGTACTCAGTTAGGAAGATATCAGTTAGGAAGGTACTCAGTTAGGAAGATATCAGTTAGGAAGGTACTCAGTTAGGAAGATATCAGTTAGGAAGGTACTCAGTTAGGAAGATATCAGTTAGGAAGGTACTCAGTTAGGAAGGTACTCAGTTAGGAAGGCGTTCATTTTTGAAAACCGGGCCCTCTACCACTGCCCACTTACAATCACCACGTGAATACACTCGGTTGGCATATTTATAGTCGTTCTTTCCAAATCTTCTTACTTTCGTCATTTTTAGTTTCTAAATGCAGCAGCAAAGCCATCGACACAGCAGATGGCCGTGGTCTAGCTGGGACACACGGTCCATTTGATTAATACGCCGCCGCAGCCACACATGCTGGGATTTGTGTTTGCCCTTTTAAAAAGCGGTGCAGGGACCGGCAGGTGACATGACGGTTATGGAGCTGGGCTCCCACGTGACCAACCATGGTTTGAGTCCCAGACCTGGTGGCTTGCTTTCTCACTTTCCCCTCCTCTCTCTCTGGTCGAATTTTAAAAATAATAATAAAATAAAAAAACTATTTTAAAAATAGTGGTATACATAGATGCTATTTCTTTTCCACAAAACTCTCACTTTTTTGATAAAGAATCCACCTTCACTGCAATTTACCGCAGATGGAATTGGCTCCCCACACGAGTTAGCCTGCAGCTGGGGAGTGCACAAGCCTTACTTCCGTCCTCTCTCTCCTGCCGTCTGCACTCCATCAGTTTATCAGACTCGAATCCCAGCTGAAAAGTGTGAGAACGAGAGGTGCAATCCCACCTTTAGACTGACAGGTTTGTGTGTGACTGGGCACGGAAGAGCCAGACCGCTGGCTGGCACGGACCTTGGCCCTCGTCTGTATTTCTAGTACCCGCACCACTCCTGGGAGTGTGGAAGATCTGAGAGCACAGGTGACCGACAGCTCACAGCGACCTGGCTCAGGGCGGCGACTGACCCGTCCGCGTGTGCGTGTGCGTGAGCGGCGCCACTAGCCAAGATTCTGTTTGCTAACTCACTCCAGAACCCATCCCAAAGCAAGTCACCAGGTTCTGACATCGTGTTCGAACTGTTCTTACACAAGCCTCTCGGTTGGGCTTTATGACTGCGCAGCGCTGCCTGCCTCGGAACAGCCACCGAGAGGGTGGTGGGCGTAACCTGGACAGGTACGGCCAGTGCTGGCTCCAGCCCCGGTCGCCAGTGCCTGGCTACGCGGCGGCCGGCCTGCATCCTCCTTTGTGAGGTGCGAAGGCGGCGTCTCGAGCTGCAGGCTGGTGCCAGCGTTTCTCCTCCACTGCTCTGCACCCGTCACCGGATCCGAAGGCAGCCCGCCCTGGCATGAGGGCCGCAGGGGAGGAAGGCCGGGAACTGCACGCTCCTGGTGGTTCCCAGGTCTGGACAGTGCAGAGCCGGCTGCTCTACCAGACCCTGCTCCTGGAGACCCTGAGCACACGTGGGTCCACCACAGAGGCGACTGCCCATCCTGGCCAGATCCTCCCCGCCGGCAGTGGGAGATGAGCAGAACTGCACGTGCGACGCTGGGATGGACGCCTGCTCCCGAGGACGAGGACGGAGGGGAGCCAGGGGCTGAAGGGCAGAGGAAGGGTCAGTGAGACAGCCTAGGCGAGACCGGCCGTGCCCGTGCCCTGCCAGCCACCAAGTGTCCATGCCTGCCCCCTCCTGCTGCGGTGACTACGCGGAGGCACCTCCATCCTCCTCCACACGCCCCTTTCCACGGTCTGCTCACGTCCGGGAAGCCCATCAGGGAGAGGCCCCTGTGGGAAGAAAGGCAGGGCCACAGACAGCTGTCTTCCACGAGTGTGACGGGCAAGGACCGTTGGTTCCCACCCCTCGCCCCTGGGGCCATGCCGCGCTTGGCACCTGGCAGTGCTGGAGGGAAGCAGCAGTTCTACGCCCAGGGCCGTGCCAGGCCGGCCGGCGTCTGGGGCGTCCCACTCCGGCAGGGGCTGGGCTAGGCCGGTTGTTCCAGCAAGCCCTTCCTTGTCTCGGCACACCGGGCACTTACTCTGGAGCACGGCGTCTATACAGCACAGCCTCGTCTCTGCTCCGCGCGAGCTCCGGCTCCCGCTGCTCCCACCCGCACCGCTGCCTCCATGACTAGCGTCTCCCCGCCAAGGCTCTGCACATGCTCGGAGGCTCAGAAACCTCCACGGAGGCTCGCTCTTTCCCGAGGGTAGGGGCACTTCCGGTGCCAGGGAGCCCCCCAGGGGGAACCTCCGGTGCTTGAGGGCCCTGCAGTCCAGGTGCCTGAAAACCCTGAAAACCCGCCGTCACGGTGGACTTCCGGTGCCTGCCGCCGCGTGGCAGGTGGCGCTGACGGCCCGTGTCCTTGCAGGCCGCCGCGCAGGAAAGCGTGCGCAGAGCGAGGCAGCAGCTGCTGGCTGCCCGCGGGGCCCGACACGACAGCCGCGTGGAGATGGAGGAGGGACGTCCCGGCTGGGCTTCGGGGCTCGCGTTTCCGGGGAGGGCGGCCAGCCCTGTCCCCTCGCCCCCTGGGGACCCACCCCGACCCTGCCCCCCGCGGGTCCTCCAGGGCCCTCCCCAGGGCCGCACTCCCCTCTGCCTGCGAGTGGCAACCCAGGCCTGCCGGTGTCGCCGACGCCCGTGTCCTGACTCCGACCTGGATGCTCACGTAAGCCAGCTGGGCTAGCAGGTGGCCTGCTGGCCAGTCGCTGGGCTCCCACGTGGCTGCCCGCAGTTCGAGTCCCACACCTGGCGGCTCATGAGTGACACTGTGCTTGTGTGCACGCACCCAGAATCCCAGGAGCGGCGGCGCCCTCCTCACCTCTCCCATCGCTGTCTTTCTGGCGGCGCCCTCCTCACCTCTCCCATCGCTGTCTTTCTGGCGGTGCCTGCATCCTATGCAAAAAAAAAACCCTAAAAATAAAAAGTGGCCTTGATACAGGGCACATGTAGTTTTCTCTGTCAGCCAAGAAGACGGTGAGCTTGCAATTCCTGGTTGAAACTGCCACACCACCCATCTGATGGCGTGAACCGGGCAAGGCAGGCCCCTGCACCTAGAAAATAACCACAGGTGCCCCTGCTGCGGGCTTGGCCGGATTAGTCGTGCTAGTGCGGGTCGGTGCCCACACAGCTCACTTAGTACTTGTTATTTCTATTTTCTACTAGTATCATTATTGCAGGATGAATTTAACATTGGAGGCGTTGCTGTTATGGTGACCGCCTGGAAGGCGGACAGGGTCCACGGGGTCGCTCACCTAGAGGGGGAGGTACTTTCTGAAAGGAGTCGGGGTTGGAGGATAGTCGGGGGCCCACACGTCCTGAGAGGCCGAGCCCTCTGCCCCGCAGGTGCCCGGCAGGTGCCCTGCAGACCTCTCGCCCAGGGAGCTCTTGCCAGCGGACACTGGCCGGGGGCCCTGACTACGGCTCTGTCTCTCCAGCTTGCCGGCGTGTTCCTGTCTGAGGATGAAAACTTCCTGCTGCTCTTCCGCCGGGAAGCGCCCTTGGACAGCAGCGTGGAGTTCATGCAGGTGAGTGCTGGGCTGCGTCTGCGGAGGGAGGGTGGGGGAGCCAGGACCCCGGCCACCCGCCATGGCCACCACTCCTGCAGGCCGCTGGGGACCCTCAGGGGAGCAGGCCGGCCCCTGCCGAAGGTGCTGCTGCTGACAGTAGGAGGAGGCTCCAGGCCGTTCAGGCCCTCCGTCCTTCCGCGGTTTCCGAGTATTGGAGAGTCATCAGTACTTATGAGTTATTCTAAGCGACACCTTCAAACTGATTCTGCTTAAACACGCGCAGACACGCTGGCTCGGTGGCACAGGGGAGGTGGGCTGTTCAAGTGAAGTGCCGTCCGTGCAGAAGGTCCCAACTCGGTTCCTGGCCGGCCTGCACATGCTGCGCACACACCCTGACCACTGACCAGGTGGCCGGCAGGTCCCGTGGGAGACTGTGGAGCGGAAGGTCCCAGCTGGCTCCCAGCTAGCCTGCACACGCTGCGCACACACCCTGACCGCTGGTCGGGTGGCTGGCAGCGCGTGGGAGACTGTGGAACGGAAGGTCCCAGCTCGGCTCCCGGCCGGCCTGCACATGCTGCGCACACACCCTGACCACTGACCAGGTGGCCGGCGGGTCGCGTGGGAGACTGTGGAGCGGAAGGTCCCAGCTCGGCTCCCGGCCTGACCGCTGGTCGGGTGGCTGGCAGCGCGTGGGAGACTGTGGAGGTTCTTGCCTTCTCTGGGTCTTGCTCCCTTTTACAGAAGAAGTGCACTTTATTTTATTTTTTAAAACTGTTTTCTGACCAACAACACTGTTTTTGTTTTTAAATAATTATTTATTTAGCTTTATTTGTTATTATTTCTAACTTGACTGGAGAGAATAAGAGAAAAGGAAAGTGAGAAAGCAAACCGCCGGGTCTGGGACTCAAACTGCAGCCATGTGGGAGTCCAGCACCCCAACCACCATGCCACCTGCCGCCCTGTAAACTTGGAATGAGTCTCAGAACATGTTGAGTGGCAGTTGTGAGTAGGTCACCCAGGAGTGCAGGCAGCATGCTCGCTGATCGAGTTTTGTCATGGGTCACGTGAAACATGGAGCGGGAACACGTAGGAGTGATAATGAACTTGGGGACAATTTGCAGAGTGGGATTCTCTTATTATTTCATTAATTTTGGACAGTGAACATGATTTACTATTGTAAAATAACTAACTCACTTATTAATATTATGAGAAGGCAGTGAAGAGAGGGAGACCGAGAAAGAGACGGAGAAAGGGAGAGAAGGCAAGAGCCCTCCGCAGAACCTCGGGCCATGCCCCTTCCTTCAGGCTCTCCCAGCCAGCCAGGGTCCTGGGCATGCTCCTGGCAGGTCTGAGTTGACCCAGGAACCAAACCCAGACTCCCCATGGGCCTCCAGCGTGGCAGGGCATGGCACGGCCACTGTGCCGCTGTCATGAGGCCGCGACATACTTCATAATCAGCGGAGGTACGGGGCCCGGCCGTGTGCGGCGCTGAGCCACCTGGGAGACGGGAGACGGGGTGGCACCGAGGAGCAGCCCCGTCTGTCAGAGCACTGACCGTTGCCCGAGTCACTCTGCAAAGGAAGGCTTTCTCTTTCTCCACCTGATACTTTTGAAAAGATCATTGTGGATTCTTGAATTTTAAAAAATTATATGGGGACTAGCAGTTAGCGTAATGGCTATGTCACTGGACTCCCATGTAGTCGACTGTGGTTCAAGTCATGGGCCTGGTGGCTTAAACTCACGCTAGGCACGTGTGCATGTGTGCCCAAGATCCTGAGAGGAGAATGGAGGAGAAGGGATTGCGGTGTGGCCATCCCCCCTGGGGGGTGATTTCTCGCTTTCTGTCTCTCTGTCTCTCTCTGTCTGTCTAGTGCATGCGCCCTATAGCAAAAACCTCTCCAAAGAAATGATATGACTGTATTACATGGTGTAGGAAGTTGTCAGCTCTCATCTTCACTTTCCCCTGAGCCTTAGACCTTGGCCCGGCTCAGCTCGGTCACCCGCCTGCTCATGCCGTGCCGTCAGTGTGGGCTCGGCTGCCCCACTCGACGTCACGCCCGCCAGCCTCTGTCCGCATACTGCCCCCTGCAGTATTCTCAGTTTCTCTGCGGTCCTGCCCTTTCCTGGTTCTCACCGAGCGTTGCTGGCGTCAGCTGTTTATCCGGCTTCTCTTTCCTTCACCTGCCCTGGAAAGGTGGACTTGCTGAGCATTTGCGTGGAGACCTCTGGCTTTCCAGCAGCTGGAGTAGCAGTGTAAGAAAAGGCACACGGAAATGCATGGAGAACAGCACTTGGAAAGCATGAAAAGAGGCTTCGTCATTGTCTGACATTCTCACGATCTGCTGTATTCACACAGTAAAAGTTAGACATAAACCACCCCCACCCATCGGCTGTGTACACACCCCTCACCCCTCACCCACTGGCCGGGTGCACCTGCCTGATCGTGGCTGAAACGACAGGACTGAGGGGTGGTGTTTCAGAACGCGTCCGCGTCTCCCACTGGCCCTGAGGGTCTGTGGTCCAGGCCTTGATGGTCCAGAATTAATGTCCCCACAGCTGGTAATAAAACACGGTGGGGGGAGTGCATAGGAGCTGAGGAAGACCTGGCAACGGACGTTCTCAGGAGGAAGCAGGGCCTGTGCCGGCGGGGGAGCCTGTCCGTGTGACAGGCACAGCGTCAGGGACGGTGCGCTGGGAGGAGCAGGGCTGCTGTCCCAGACTCATGGCCGCTGTCTCCAGCTGCAGCAACGCCAGCCTCTCACCATGGGGAGGAGCGGCTTGGCTGTCCTGTCGCTGGGAACGGCCGACGTGTTTTTATGCCCTCCACCCAGAGCCCAGGCGCATGGGCAGAGATCCCCGTGGGCACTTTTCTGCAGAGTAAAGCATGTTTCATTTCACTACTTCTTCTTTAAGTTCACGCTCTTTCTCCTGAGACAGAGAAGGAGAGAGACAGAGGAGAGACATGGAGAGGCCCAGCAGGTCTTCAGGCCGCCGTGTACAGGGAGGCCTCGGGAGTGGTCAGCATCACAGAGCTCTGGGGCCTGCTGTGGCCCCGCTGGCCCGTGGGGACACCGGCTCATTTCATGTCACCGCGGGAATTCTAGTTTGAAGCAGGTGCTTCGGTCTGATTTCCACCTCATTGAACCCAGAACTGCTCCTCCTGCCTCGGGGCAGTTATCTGATGAGGCCGCAGGGCGTGTTGCCAGGGACCACAGACGTGCCTGGGCCCGGCCTCAGTCTCAGCGCCCCCGTTATTCTGGGGTGTGTGTCCCTGTCACGTCCATCTCTTCGAAATTCTCACTCTTGCCAGCTCAGCTCAGAGCAGGGTCTGTATACCTGGCCCTGCTAGGTGTGATGCTGCTGCAGGGTTCTGTGGGAGATGACTCAAGTACAAATTTGTTTTGGTACAAAATATTTTGCAGTTCATGCATGTTTTCTAACAATGCGCATTTTCATGGGCCTTTGGAGGCTCCTCCCGTGCCGGGCAGAGAACTGTCACGGTGTCCTAGTCGGGCCCCTCCTTCCCAGCTCTCTCTGTCGAGCCTTCCAGAAGAGCCCTTCGACGAAAGCGACTCGTGCACGTGAAGCAGGTGGCTCCCAGTGAGCGCCGTGGTCTGTCTGCAGTGACGGCTGCCCAGACATTGGCTGTCGCCAGAGAAGGCCTAGAACTCTCAGCCAAGTCTTAGCGACCTCCAGTTAACGCCGTTTCAGACGGCAGACTGGCAGACCCCCGCCGGCCAGCCCCGCTTCTCCCCGAGGGCTGGTGAATTAACAACGTTGTGTTTCAGATCTGGCGCAAATACGATGCGGACAGCAGTGGCTTCATGTCAGCTGGCGAGCTTCGCGTAAGTGTTGCCGGGAACTATGCCAGGAAGGGGGTGGGATCTGCTACGGCCGCGTGCTGCATAGACGGGCCACATTCCGGGTGCCTCCGTGATCGTGCGGCGTCAGGGGTGTGTGTACCCAGAGCGCAACTGCAGCCTGCTGCACGCCCAGGCCCTGCCGTGCAGACTGTCGTCTACGGGAGCGCCGTCATATACGGGGTCGAGTGTGGAGCAGATGCCGTTAGGTGGCTCCCGGCTAGACAGGGAACCTTGATGGTTCATGGGAAGTGGAAGTCAAGTACGAGCATTTGGGGTGAAACCGTTAGAAATCCGCACCTAGTTCTCTCATACCACTCATTTCCTTAACGAGCTTCCTGAAAATCCAGCATCTTTGTACCAGGATTTGAAGTCTGTGGGCCCAACGTGAACTTGAATTCGTTACTTAAAAACAGTAGTGTTTGTATCTAAAGGCTTTAGATGGCAGGGCATGCGCCTGCCCTGGGAGGGGGTGTGGAGCTGCCGTGCTGTCCTGCCCGGGTCTGCCCGTGTGCTCGTGTGCCCGTGTGCCTGCCCTGGGAGGGGGTGTGGAGCTGCCGTGCTGTCCTGCCCGGGTCTGCCCGTGTGCTCGTGTGCCCTTGTGCCCTTGCGCCTGCCCTGGGAGGGCGTGTGGAGCTGCCGTGCTGTCCTGCCCGGGTCTGTGCTCATGTGCCCGTGTGCCTGCCCTGGGAGGGCGTGTGGAGCTGCCGTGCTGCTGTCCTGCCCGGGTCTGTGCCCGTGTGCCCTCGCGCCTGCCCTGGAGTGGCAGCCTCTGTTCTGAGGTTGACCACTTTCTAAAGGCATTTTATTTCAGCCCTGAAACAAGTCCCAGTCCTTCAAGGGCGTCTGGAGACCTCCATGGTGACTCGTGCACGGTCTAAAATGTGACTCTTCTCTTCTTGCCATAGAACTTCCTCCGAGACCTCTTCCTCCGCCACAAGAGGGCCGTCTCCGAGACTAAGCTGGAGGACTACACCGGCACCATGGTAAGTCACAGGGCTCCGCAGCCTCCCGAGGGCGCCGCCGCGTCCTCCAGGCGTGGACGTGGGCTGGCA